TTCAACCTTATGTATAATGTATATGCTCCTTGATGGCTTTTTCAGCTTTAAAGAGTCATTACTGAAATCCATGCGCCACAAGTGGTGACTTACATGAAAACTATTTGCTCTCTATGAAAACCCTGCAGGTTTGCAGACATGAAACCACAGAGATCAGGGATTTTGAAGCAGTCTGTACCCATCAGTCATCAAAGTTTCATAAAACTTGCATCAGGATAGTCTGAGGGGCTTGTGTTTGGGTTTTGAAGACGATGAACTAGTGGGATCTCTTTAAATGTCCGATAGCATGAAACACTCACATGTCAGTATTACATTAGTAAGTTATGGAATTACTGGCAGCCTTAGCTTGCTGATACATGACGTGTTCAACTAAGGGACAAAAGTAGCTGATTATTGAATTTGATCAACACATCTCAGACATCAGATCAAAATGCTTGAACCCTGTGAAGGAACATTTCCTCACTGTGAGTCTATTTTATAAAGTCTCTAAGTCTCTAAAGTCTATAATAATAATAATAATAATAATACGAAGAAGAAGAAGAAGAAGAAGAAAAATAATAATAATACTAAATCAACTAAAGTTCAATAGTTACAACCACTTTTTTTTAAACAAGAGGAAATAAAGATAAAGCTTTTAATCAACATGACCAGCATTTTTCCAAGTGCCAGCAGGTGTTACCAACACTGGCTCTACACACTGGAGACATTATTCTGTTTGCATTTTGATTTTGTTTCTCTGCTTGTTTCCTGCTCTGTGTGTACACAGTCTGCAGTTCATGCAAGTTCTGCTGAAAAGTGTCTGAATTTTCTTTCAAATCTTGGTTAGAACAAAGCAAAACAAACTAAATATTCAATGAGAAGTATAGACTGAAATTCTTATGGACATGCAGTTCCATTGTCTGTCAACAGAAACAGAAATGTATAAATGAGAACAGCTGTTTTGGGAGTTGATTCATATTAAAATACAGTATATATGAGAACAGTGAGCAGGAGAAAAAACCAAACAGCTGTAATGTGACTGAGTTTAACAGTCGTTAGTGTACACCTCAAAATTATTAGATTAGCAACTACACTCAGTAGTTGCTCAGAACTCTGAAAGGACTTTGAGCACAAAGTTATTGATGAGTTTGCTGGTTCTACCCACTTCCAGAGGACTAGAAGAAGTAGGCCGACAGGCTTCACAGTCAAGCTGCCCTGAGAAAGGTCATGTTCACCATAAATATAGAAGATTCATCTTTGAGTTCCTTCTGTGCCTCCTACTCTGCTTCATCTGTAATTCCAGTCACACACATGAGGTCAACAGCCACATGTATGGGTGAGTTTTAGGAAGACTAAATGGCAGCAGTCAGACAGTGCTGTTCTCATCTTTTCATCAGACATTCACCTCCTCATCCGGTGAATCACAGAGCTACGATCGACTTTACTGATGCGGACAAACGTGGGAAGAACAGAAGCGATATTACAATGCTGCCTGTCTCATCAAATAATGGGATATATTATATACATAGATTTTGCAGCTTTACACTCAGTATGAGGTTCATTTTTTAAAATCACAAAGAAAATCTAATTATTCATGTTCACTATGCTCTGAAAGGAATTCATTGAGGAACTCATTTGCAGCAGCAGCAGCAGCTCTGTTCCCTCTGGATGATTGCTGTCCTAATTCTCTCTTTAAATCTCTCTCTGCTCTGTACTGATACAAATAACGCTGTGATGTACATGTTTACCACGTCACTGGAGGCCTGCTATGTGCTAGCCTGCTGCCAGACCTCCACTGTCACCAAAAACACAGACATCCCAGAACTGAGTGACCTCTGCTGTGATGAAGTCATGCGAGTGTCTTGTGTTGTTTATCCTCAAGGCCGTCACTCCTGGACCCCTGCTGTTCCCTTACAAAGGATGAAGCAAACATGGCCGTCCACTTCATCCGAAATCACCTGGTTTCCTCAGGAACCTACATCGGGACCTTATTTGTAGATTTTAGCTCTGCTTTTGATATCATCATTGTGTCGCTGCTGCAGGACAAGCTGTTCCAACTGAGCGTCCGTCCTCACCTGCAGGTAGATCACAGACCTCCTGGCTGACGGGAGGTAAGACATGAAGCAGGGAAAGCCCCTCTCTCACTCCCAGACCATCAGCACTGATTCCCTTGAAAGCTGCCTGCTGTCCACTGTCTTCTCCTTGTGCACCAGCAGCTACACCTCTAGTCACAAAAGGCAATAGTAAAGACTTGAAATGAATACAGACACATATGAGGGCCAGTAAAGTAAGTAGAAATACAAGTTTGAAAATAAACAGAACACCAAAATGAATAACTAGAACCTGAACATAAACGAGTGTGTTCCTGATGTCAAGTTAACAGCAGACAGCAAATTCACATTAAACAAATGACGGTTGTATAGTTGTAATATTCACAACTTATCTATTTTTCAAGAACCTGTCCTATTACAGTCTGATAATAAAAGTGAATCTTTAATTGGTAAGATATCACAAATAATTTCAGTCTAGTCATCCATTGTATGTATTTCTGGTCTTAACCACTTTCTAGTGATGACTTTCTTGCTGGCTGCACTTAGAATCGGAAATAGATTTCTAACATTAGAGGTGGCATTATCTGATGGCAGGGCACTGAAGTAAAAGGTCTCTAGTTTAAATGGAATATCCACCCAGAGCCCTTTTTGTGAAATCCTATGAACCTCCTGTCAGAAAGAAATTAATAATGGGCAGGACCAAAAGATAAAACAATGATTTACCTCAGAGATCCTCACATTGTTTCCAGCACAAGAAAGACTTATATAGTGTCTTTCTTTCTTGTACGTGTAAACATCTTTGTAATGAAGACTATTTGGATTCTGCTGACCCTTGCAAAGTGTCATATAGGGCCTGTCCAAGTATTCTGGAGAGCAGCTTTATTCTGAATCTTGTGCGGAGGGAAAACACTGCTACACCCGTGTCTGTGGGTTGAAAGTTTCAGGTCTGCTGCACCTCTGAGCACACTGAAGCCCACAGGCGGAGGTCAGGACCACACAGCTGTGATGCAGAAGATGTGGAAGATCATCTCAAGCAGCACTGAGACAGCACCACTTCCCCACAGGCTGCACTTAGAATCCTCTTGTTGGCATATTTTCCTTTATTAGATAGTAACAGAGGAGAGCGAAAGGTAATGTGGGAAAGACAGAAGGAGAATGATGATCAGTAAACATTCAGTCATCTGGGATTCAAACCCAGCAGCCCTTAAAGGTATTTCACACCTGATGTGCAATTAATCCTCTGCTCACAAAGCCTGCTCTTATCCCCGGTGTATGAGCGAACAATAGACCTATATAAAACCCTGCTTTGTTTCTAAAAGCCTTGCAAAATCTGCCGGATCAATTATATGACCATTTGCACAGAAGTGGTTTGATTTTCCGTTGGGATTTAGAGAACGTCACAGCACAGACGCACACCTGTTGAGCTTCATACACACGGTTTAGGATGGAAACAGTTCTTGGGTAAAATACCTAAACAGAGGTATACAGGTGTAACTATTTTATTCCATGCAGCTGTCAATTATGCTCATATACAACCTCTTAATGGGCTGCAAGGTGGCGCAGTTGGTAGCACTGTTGCCTCGCAGCAAGAAGGTTGCTGGTTCGCGTCCCGGTGGGGGCACCGGAATCTTTCTGCGTGGTCTGCATGTTCTCCCTGTGCAGCGTGGGTTCTCTCCGGGTTCTCCGGCTTCCTCCCACAAGGTCCAAAAACATGTAGAGGTTAATTGGTGATTCTAAATTGTCCGTAGGTGTGAATGTGAGTGTGCTTGGTTGTCTGTCTCTAAGTGTGGCCCTGTGCTAGACTGGTGACCTGTTCAGGGTGTCTCCTCGGCTGGGATAAGCTCCAGCACCCCCGCGACCCTAGTGAGGATTAAGCGGTGTATAGATAATGGATGGATGGATGGATGGACAACCTCTTAATACCATCAAATGACTAATCAATAGCAAATTGATCAGAAAAATTAAACAAAACTTTCTAGTTTCAATTCCAGGACGCTGTCATATCATCCATCTTTATACACAGTTTAGGTATACAGGATTTGAAAACAGGGAAGATCCAATGAAAGACCAAGTTGCATTGTGGGAAATGTAGGCTCTAAAGATTTTTGAGCTTGACTCGTACTGTGGAATAAAAGTTGGCACATCTGAGCTTCTGCAAAGTTTGAGTAACTGTGAATTTTAGTTTTATGGAAACATTTCTCACTTTGAATGAACAACAGGTCTTATTATGTTGGTTGTGCTGAGGAATACATCATAATTAACCAAGACACTCACATTAGGATATGCACTAAACAAACTGGGCTGCATAAACTACATCCAGCTATCACACACTTGATAATTCATTATGCATGAAGGCCTAGATTCCTTTGTAGAGAATCAATATATGCATCATGTTTGAATTATTAAACAGTGACCAGACCTGTGAGTCTTTGCTGATTGGTTGTTTAAACCACTGACGGGTAAATAAACCGCCTCATTCTTCTTCTGTCGTACTCCTGACCGGCTTTCACTCATCTCAGCGGAGCAATGAACACGAGGCCGGCGACACATGGAGACGCCAAGAGGAAGACCAGGATTTCCATGAATTAGGACAAACACAGATGAATTAAACATCAGAACAGCTTCAACTCCTGAATCCCTGCCATCACCAAGTTTTTGTGTTTGGTTCTCTAAAAACGGACGATCCATCAAACACAGAGGGCACACAATGGCCCATCTATGTTGGAGAGCGAATGAAGATTTAGAAGCAAGAAAAGAGCTACAAGTGACAAATCCATCAACAACAGGAAGGGCGCTGGCAGGGCTGAGTGGGAGGCTGACTGTCATCATCGCAGGAACGAGACGAAGCAAAGACATAAAACACAGGACGTTCCCAGAACAAATGAAAAGAGGCTTGTTCTACAGAGAGAAACGCAGCGCTATCAATCTCTGAGAAAACACAAAGTCACACAAGACACAACAAGATGCTCATGATTGAGTCTAAGTCTGGAAAGTCTTTATAAGATTACAGTCACAGCAGGAATTATTACGTCCCCACTTTAAAAAAAAAAAGGTACATTAGGAAAATAAAAGGCAAAATCACTGATACATGTAGATTTTTTTTCTTTCATACAAAAATGATAGAATTCATTTAATTTGCAACAGTTGAAGTATAATCAATAGAAAGTCCCAGTTTGCTTTAGCCGTCACTTGTTTTCACAAAGCCTTCATGTGCAGCGTTTAGCTTCCTTCATTCATCACAATTTTCTGAAATCATGTCGACCAGCTTCACAAAGACGAAACAAAACAAGATTTAACAACACAAAAAATAAAAAAAGCAAGATCATTTTTTTCTTTTATCAAATTCGGAGGCAGCTAAATAAAACAGATTGCCATAACTAGATTCTGGGTAACAAAATAAATGACTTTCCTTCATTTGTTAGAGCAAAAACCAATTTGCATATTCACAGGTACTGCAAAAAGAGAGAATATTTTCAGAAAATGTACACAGCTGTTCCTTCATCAACAAAGACAAAAAAAAAAAAAATCTACTTTAGTGGTTTATAAAGTCAAAATTTCAACTAGGAAACAAGGCATTTCAGATTCTCTGAGGAGTGTCTCGGTGTCTTATTGCTTTTACCTCCTGACTGAATCCAAGCAGCTGCTGTCAGTCTGATGGTGTGTGTTTGGTTTTGTTAGATCAGGTCAAGACCTTCTGATACCTGGTTCATCCAGGTGTGTAGTAATAATCTCTGTGCTGAGTGACGACTGGCTTATCACCTCAAAACAACCTCTGTGTCTCCAATGAAATACTCAGACAGACTACAAGGTACAGCCCTTTTTTTTTTTTTTTTAGATTTAAGGACATAAAGAGAATGAACTCTTAACAATTTTTATTTATTTTTTGCTAACCTGAACTGTCAATCATAAAGAGTCAGTTCATCCACTTCTTAAAATTGTGATAGTCGTGTTATATAGACTCGCAAATTACTGGATTATGCTAAAACATCTGCCACTTAGAAATAGTTAAAACTAGAAGATGTCAGCAGGTTTTTCCAGCTTGTAGTGTGGTAGTTGATGGTAATATGTAAAACAAAGTCAGAGAGAGACATACGGAGACAAAGCTTCCTTTCTCTCAGAGTCCAGCTCCACATTCCTCTCATTCTGCTGGGCACGACCTGACCGCAGCTCCAGCTGCCTCTGAGTCCGTCCCTGTGTCTTCTGGGAACGTTTTGCTATTTTCTAAGGTCAGCAAATCCCCGCAAGGACAGCAGGTCATTTACAGAGGCCGCTTCGAGACTTCTTGGAAAAATGGGTTATTTTCAGGATGTGTGATTGGGATCTGTGTCTGTGCTCTCCACAAAAGTCAGCCATAGTCCAGCTGCACAGATCTGCAGAGCAGATGCTTAGACAATGATGTCTTAAAAAAACAGCTTTCCACTTTGATTGTGCTAAGATCACTATGGCAACTTGGACCTGTTCCTCCTACACTGACACACTTTAATGTGGTGAAGATCTTAAGTCAGCTCACCTTTAACCAGCTGAACACACCTGAGTCTCTCATGGGTCAGAAACATCTAAGGATTTTAAACAAGGACACAATTTGTACTTAAATATGTTAACTGCTCTGACTTTGGTTTTCAATTTTGCATTGTTAGATAAAGTGAAATTAACAAAGAGAAAATCTCTTCTGTATGAATTATTGCTTCTCTTTTTACTCAGACAGCTCACTAAAAACAAAGCGACAAAAACAACCTGTCTGACTGAGCAGTTAATTTCTGTCTTTGGTCTGCCACTTAATGATCTGCTCCAATAAAATCCACCTCTCTCATCTCTCTTTGTTGACAGCTCATTATCTTGCCTCTCTTTAGCTCAAAAACAACTTTCCAGCAGCCCGCCCTCCAAACGCTGCCCATCTACCCATCTGTCTGTCTGTCCTGACTCTCTGTCAGGGTTTAGGGGTTATCAGACCTCACTTTCAGTTCAGCCAGTGCAAAAAGATAATGTTTGTCAGCAGGCAACAACTTGAAGCCATTTTCATCCGTTATCTTTATGTTTACTTTAAAGGCCTGGTTCCAGACCCACTAATGAATTAATTTTGAATTAAATTTTTTTTAACTGCCTTTTTATGTGGATTTTATGTCTTCACATTCAAAATGTTGGTCTGCTTTTGCTGCCAGTGGAAACTGTTCAACAACAAAGACTTCTGGTTCCCAATATGGTTAGAAACATAAAAAACCCAAAAATGGTTGTAAATGCTGTTTATGGAATCCCAGAAGGACAAAAAAATCTGAACCTAGCTAAAAAAAAGTTTAGCATTTTTTTGTATTAAATATAAATAAATGCAACTCAGATAAAAAAAAAAAGAAGAAAAGATTGTTATGATTATTTGTGTTACTGATCACTATTGTAACTTTCTGAGGTTTCCACATCTAAAAAGGGGTATTTTCAGGGTCACAGTCTGAGCCAGAGGCCGATGTAGGAGGGAACAAGCTTACACTGCAGGACAGCTCCAAGTTATACTGGACAAAACAAGGGTCAGAAATGATCTGTTATGGTGGAAGCTCAGAGTCAAAGGGCTTCCAGTCCTTGATATTTAATACTGACTGAACTGAAAAGTGACTTTCTTCTAAATTTCTCCATCTCGTAACACTTTCACATTCGCTCAGTCTTTCTCACTCACTTCCTTCGACTCCTCCTGAGCATGCAATCAGCTTTCAAGACATTTCCCTGCTGGAAATACCATCACACAGATGAAAATCTTACAGCAACACTTAATCTAAATATGTTAAATGTAAATGATATTTCTTTATAACTTATATTAGTTTCCGTTTCTAATTGGCTTAATTGCAGCAGCTTTTGTATGATTTATAACAAGCATGTAACAAAGCAACCTGTAAATGGACCAAAAATGTCATGGTATATGCTAATATAATAACGTAATACTGATGAAGATTTGAAGTAATCATTGTTTATACTTCCAGGGAAAAAAACATCTGAAACATTTAGTTTTTTTTCATTTTTGTACCAGATTTGACATTTTTAGCCCATTTAAAGGATATTTTATCACAGTAATTACATTCATTGTTACATAATCAGGTTGTCATTACGTTTCTAAAGCACATCACATGTTATACATCAATTGAAAGAACTGAAACATAAGAAATACACAGTGAATCTTTTACAGTTTGATTTTTTTTTTTTGTTACAATTTTAACTTGAACATAAACTAGACTAAAACGAACCTGAAAGTTCAGCTCATTTTTCTGTTACGACTCATCCATCGTCTAATGCTGCTCAGATTTGCTTTCATTCATTACGCAGATACTTGTAGTGTGTGACTGACCTCACATCAGTCCTGTTAGAAGGCCAGATTTTACGACCATGACCTTTAAACTAACCTATTCATCTAAAAAGCTATAAAATCTTAAAAAGCAACAGATCTGGCCCATGTCCATGTTCCTGGAAGTACTTGTTCCCTTTTCCTACAGTGAAGCCTGGAGCGGGGGGAGTTGCACATTAAAAAGTGGCAGTGAATATTTGATCCGCAGTACTTATTGCAGTCTGTTTGAATTATATCCACAGACATTTCAGGGGTAGATATGAATAGAAATAAGTTCCAGGCTGTTTTATTCTTACTCAAGTGGTATTTGGCACCAGCTTTGTGCGTTACTCAAAAGACAGCAGGTCCGGATGAGGCTCTGCGTCTTCGGCACTCACTCCGGTGCCTTTACTGCAGGGGGCGCCGTTCCCCAGCAGGACCTCCTCCCCCAGGCTGATGCGGCAGGCAGTTTTACCCGAGCAGGGAGTGGAGGCCAGCCGGGAGTCTGGTCCCGGCGCCTTCTGCCAGATGTCGCAGGTTTTGGCTCTAGACTCCAGTGGGGGATCTTTGTGGATGAGGTCTGGTACAGAGAGCTGCAGCTGGTGTCGATGCTCCTCCACACCTCCTTCAGGGCTCCCATCCTCAGCATCATCCTCTTCTTCACCGATCACCGTATCCACCTTGCCGTTTGTCCCAGCTGACTCTGAATCCTCTTTTTTCTCTGCTGGGCCCAGTGACTGTGGGACATCTGTTGGCCTTTCTTCATCCTTTTCACCCTGCTGCTGCTCCTCGTCATTCCTCGTCTCTTCCTTAGCGATGAGAGGCGTCTTGTCGGGGGAGGAGAGGAAGGAGGAAGAGTCAGCAGCATCCGGGGAGGAGACCACGGGGTCAGAGGAGATCATCATGTCCTGGGTCGTCTTCAGCGCTCGAGGGAGGCGCTTCTTTCCTGATGGGGGTGGAGGGTCCAGCCGAGGGAAGGAGTCAAAGGAGGAGATGTGACTAAAAAAAGAGAAGAAGGTAAACAGATGTGAGGACGATGAGGATAAAAGGAGAGGCAACATTATAAAAGACAGTCAGAGAAAGCTGTAAATGAATTTAAGGCCATATGGCACCACAAAGACCTTTAGTACGAGCAGATGGTAGCAGGTTTTACACTAAGACCAGTAACTAACTGAAATGTAACACTTGAGTTTGCTGCTTTGTTAGAGGCGGGCACAGATATTGTTTAGTTGTTTCATTAGATCAGAGAATTTCATACTGAGGGAGAATTGCTGAGGGGTTGTGTGGTGGGAGAGATGTAAGGCAAAGATACTGTGGTGAAAGGAGCGGGGGCATGCAGGTGTTCTGAAACAAGGAGAAGTTGGTTTTTGTAGTCGGGGCTGCTGATTTGTCAACCTGTGGAGCAGCAGCGGTGGCTGTGACAATGCTCGTCGAAGCAACTCTGAGTCACAAAACTGAACACAAAGACATCACAGAAAAAGTAGTTTTTTGATTTGCTCTGACTCAATATTTATCTCTGATGTCCACACGTCTGATTCAAATCCATTAACAAAGACACTCTCCATGGCGGCAGAACGATCATTACACATTTTAGATCTCTTCAGCATCAAAGTAACCCAGTGATAGTTGTCTGTTCTTGCAAATAGGAACTGCTATTAGTTCATTCGACATACTTTTCATGCTTAAATCTCCCGAAGCATTAGACAATGATTATCTCCTAAATTGAAAAGAGGGAGTGCAGGTGTCTTGATTTTGTCTCGAAGCCATATGATGCAACTTTGGTGAGCTGCTTTGAGTCTGCTGATGTGTGGGAGAGAAGGAGTAATAGAATTCTATCTTTGCCGTTGTTCTGGTTTTATGACTTAAACTTCCATTTCCAATTTCTATCATCAGCATGGGAAGGGAGAATAAAAACATCTTAGAGATGTTCTGTTACTGTCTGTGTGTTCTTGGAAATAAAGGAAATGGCAAAGAGTAGAGTGTAATTTCTAGAGAAAAAAATACAGGTGACTTCTGAATATTCACAGATGCTAATGACCAGCAGAAACACCACAGCAAGCAGGTTTAATGTGTAATAGCTAGACTGGAGACGCACTACAGAATCCAGTAATTCAGTTCTTCCAAGACAAATGACATCACGTCAATTGTTTGGATTTTCTCATTAAAGATATGTACAATTCAGCTGCTGATACCTGCGATGTGAATTGTGGATATCTGAAGCTAAATTATGACTGATTGCAATTCCAGTTTCAGATATCTGCACTTTAATTCTGATCCGTCATAATTCTGATTGAAGTTATCTTTAGTTAACCTCAGTTCAAGATATCTTGATTGTCATTTCTGGAGATATTAAATTAGGTTTGAACTAGTCAGAATGATGTTGGAGATGTCTCAAACTGTAATTCTGCCAAGTCAGAATGTAATTACAGATGTCCCAAATTAGAGTTTTGAATTTTTTTTTTTGAAATATCTGTAGTTACGTCAGAAGCTAAAATGAGTAGGAGACAGAGGTGGTGAAAACATATTATGGAACTACAACTGACACCACATATGACCAGCCTTTTACTACCATGTCACGACAGCCTTGAAGTGAATTATTGAACAAGGCTCTCGTTCTTTACAAACTCCTTGCTGATGAGCATTTCTTACTTCACGGCCTTTTCTAACTATCTTATCAACCACAGCAGTTGCCACTACTTCTGTTAACACAGTTGAAAAGCGCCCCATATAAGAAATGTCGCAGGCCATGTGACGTCATCCATTAGCGACATTGTAGTCTGTAGCGTGCGCATTCAACAGTCCACATAACATCATGCACAACAATCAGACTAGTCATAATGACGTTTAGAATATGTAGTGCAAACTGAAATACAGATATCTTCAGGTGTTTCCAACATCCATCCATCCATTATCTATACACCACTTAATCCTCACTAGGGCTGCAGGGGGGCTGGAGCCCATCCCAGCTGACTCAGGGTGAAGGCAGGGGACATCCTGGACAGGTCGCTAGTTTATCACAGTGCTACACTTAGAGACAGGCAGACAAGCACACTCACATTCACACCTACGGACAATTTAGAATCGCCAATTAACCTCAACATGTTTTTGGACTGTGGGAGGAAGCCGGAGAACCCAGAGAGAACCCACACTGCACAGGGAGAACATGCAAACTCCATGCAGAAAGATCTCTGGCGTCCTAATTTCGAGACATTTTTGGGTAGGGAGAGATTATTTCCATTGAAAAACTGTTAAATTTGTGACTTTGATACACAGACATTTGATTTTAGGGGTTTAATCAATGACCAGAAACTTTAATACTTACAGTAACTAAGAAAGCAAAGTCTAAATAAAGCCTATGGTATAGAATACATACGCAGTAGGCAAATCTGTAAGTAAAAACTGGCAAGATTAGTTAGAATATTAGATAGTTCACGAGCAGCAGCGGCGCCCATTAATGACAAATTCCACTTAATGTAACATGTCAAATCTTGTTGACAACTAATTGGATGATGGCCACCATGGTATTTGGAGCATAATAGAATTCTGTCAGGGATTGTTTGTTGCATCATGAGATGATGAATTGTTTAATATCTTAACTGAATTAGACTTTACTGAGTTATAGCCATCGAAGGATTTCATGCTGCTTCAGTGCCACTGACAGAAGAATCAAATTTGGCACGATGACTCAGACTACAAACCTGCACTAGCCTACTAATAAGAACATGCTGAGTGATGGCGGAGGATGGCGGCTGGAAAGTACCAGCAAGAAGTTCAATCTACTTTCACTCCCGGTCATCATTTTAATGGCTCCTCATTGTGAGCATTCAAAGTGTTTACAAAAACATTCCAATTTCTCAAGCTGTTTTCAACAATGACAGAAAATCATCACGGTAACTACTGCCCATTGTGATGAGAAAGAACTTACTATTACCGCTGCACGACCTTTCACTAGAGCTGACAGGGACACACAGAGCACAGAGCAGTAAGCAACACTGTGTTGTGTGGGAACATAAAAAGCACAAAGACTTTTTGTGTTGTAAAAGGTATGTATTTGGAGCTTAGCTACCTTTTCCGTTTGTTCTGTAAATGCAGCAGGGTGATGTATCTATAAAGAACATCATTACCAGGACAAATGCAGAAATAAATTAAACCTCAGACGACGAATGACTAATAAAGAGGTCGTGCTCTTTTCATTGTCAGAGGAACAATCGCAGAAAACAGATGGATGTTCTTGGCTCTAGACCACTGCACACGTCATCTCAAGCATTCATATTTCAACAATAGAGAATCAGTCAGCTATTAAGTCACCCTCTCAGCTCCGGTCGTCTGAACCAGTCAGTGGTCCTGCAGAATCTTTAGATCATCATTGCTAAGCTAAACTAAATCCTTTCTTGGTCCAGTAAATGAAGACAAATGGGATCTGAGCTGCTGAAAAAATACTTGTGCTTGACTGATCTTTAGGTGGAGAGACAACAGATCAATGCTTCTGGAACAAATCCTCAAATATAGATACACACAAACAACCAGTAATGTAGGAGCGTGTGTTTGTAAATCATAAACAGACAATAAAAAGGCATGTAAGAAACTGAAAACCTCAGATTGAAAATCTGTCTTCTTCAATTTCAGATGTCTCTCAGGCACCTTTGATGTATCATTACTAATTTAAAACATTTCAAAGGAAAGATCTTCAATTATTCACCTTTTCTGACAGTGTCTAATATACAGTGATCAACGATTTCTTCTCTCAGTAAAGGCAGAGACACATTTTTGACGTTAATTATGATAATGTCTTTCAGTGACTCTTTTGTTAAAGTGAATGTGCAGCAAGTTATGTGCTTTTTGCATATTCATCCTAAAATCTTTGAGATACATGTCTCCTAATTATGTTATTTTTAATGATCATGAGTTCAGGATCAGAATTAAAATTACAATTATAATCAAATTTAGGATAAATTTACCCTGACTGTGTGTGCATACCTGTTGGCAGCAGTCTGGTTGAGTTGGTCCATGCAGCTCCACACGGCACCAACATTCTTGTTGACCTCAGTGACCCCGATGTCCCCGAGGTGGCTGGGCTCTTTCCTTCTTAACAAGTCATTGACCTAAAAAGAACAGATGAAAAGTGGGAAAAAAATGACAACAAAAAGAAAGTACTTTTAAAATCAAACCTTTATCAGCTCATTTGATGAGACAACAAAGTTATGAAACTTGAACCCAGTCCTGCATTTGACCACAATACCTGCAATAAGTCATACAATATCAGCTTATTTCAAAGGTGAAGGTATACAGGGTGCAGAGTCGCACCTGCAGAGCCCAATGTTCCATTTCTGCTTATGTTGTACTAACCTTTGCCCCGACTGCCTTGCCCAGGTTAATGGCATTTTTCAGCCTTTGCTGTCCTCCGGAGGATGGAGAGTCGACGCAGCCAGACCCCAGGTTGGAATTAGCTGATGCTGTGGAGCGTCGGGCCGATGGCTGACCCGGCCTGGAGGTCTGAGGACTCTGCCGCTGGGCAATGGAGTTCTCAAACATACTTTGATCAACTGTGCAAAAATATATGTGGAGAGAGAGAAAGCAAAACAGAGAAGTGAGTACACAGCAAGAAAAGATGTGAACATGTCTGCTTTTAACAGCACATGTTGCAAAGCTGCAGACCTTTCCGGCATTAGATAACACAAATGGGATTTTTCTCTCAGAGTGAGATGCACAAACCCATTTAGAAAAGAGAGGAGTACTCCACTGAGCTAAACACTTTGGATGTGTTTCAGAAGTTTCTTTCAGCGTGCTACTGGATCAGCATTTATACTCCAAAGATGTGAACTGCAGTAAATTCAAGATAGTCAGTTTGAATGATCCATCTGCCACGAGGGAGCACAAACATTTGTGGAGTACTCTTTTCAGTAAACTTTGAATGTCATGTTCTTCCTGTGTACAATAACTCTGCAGCTTTGCTCAAAACAAACTGATGCGTCATCATCACACAAGTTTCAAAGGTCATTTATGGAAATGCAACCGATGGGATCTAGATGGTAAAGCTCTGTTGTAACACTGTGTGATGATCACAGAATGATACAGAAAACAAAACTTAAGAGCACTGCAATGACTCATGCACATTAACAGCAATAATGACAGTGAAGCAGAACCAAGGGACCACAATGCAGGATCAGAAACAACACAACAAAGGGGAGCTCAGGTCCAATCCACTTAAGACAGAAGATCTTACCTCTTGGAGAGAAATATTTCTCGGAAGGCATTTAATGAAACACAAACGTATCAGATTTCAGATCATTTTACCTCTAAAGACACAGATAATTGAACTGTCCCTGCTTTGTCACAAAAATGCAGCTGATTCATGTCCCAGACACAGAGGACACATCACGGAGGCTTGTGGCTACGAGTGCAGCCTGGAACACTATATGCATATCTGAAAGGAACATTGTCTTGACCAGATAAATGGAGAGAAAAATATTGTCCTCTGAAATCAGACAGAGCATCAAAGGGTAACCTTGGCTTCTCTTTGCACGCACAAGTATTTCACTTACTGTCCCAATCAAGAGATCTACAAAAGCCCATTAGCCAAAGGCCAGAGGAAATGTCATCCAATATTATGAATCAAAGTAATGTAGGGGGCATTAACTTCAAGGAGACAGAGAAAGACATGTGAAGAACAGAGACAAACATGTACATTAACTTTACAGCATGCAGACACAGGAGTCATCATATTGCAAGTACATAAGTAGAGGTGCAAAGTAAAACCACAGTCCAACATAAATGTAATGGTACAGTAGATGTGATATGTGATGTGTGTGTGTGTGGATTTTCCACCTGGCAGGTAGTCAGATATGGATCTATGCGATTAAAACCACCACTGATTTGATAATTTTATGACTTTGGCACTACTGAATCATAGTATTAAACAAGCACTAGAGCCATGCACATCACATCGTCATCTATAAATATGTATCAGGTGCTGTAAGAAAAAAGAAAAGCAATAACTGTATTTTTACTACATCTGAAACAATTAGTCCATCAGGTAATGTTTTACAAACCAAATAAAGCCAAACATCTGTAGTATTTGGACATTTCCTGCAAGTTGCCCAGTTGAAGATGCTACTGCAGGTTTGGGAAACTGTAGGATTTCATTTTTTATAGTTTTTTTTTAAATTTTAAAACTGCTAATTGATTCACTCAGCAAAAAACAAACAAAGAAAAAAAAAAACAATTTATCCAATAACAAAAATTATGATATTGCAGCAAATTTAGTCTCTTTCTACTTGAGGCAAATTCCTCCTTTCGCAGGGGTTCAAGTGTTGTAAACTTCATCATACCAATGTCTGTAGGGGTCCACGTGCAGCGCAAACTGTGTATGCACAAACTGCTTATATGTGAGGGAAACAAATGGTGTTCAAAACAAATGCCTGGTTTGAGAGAGCAAGATTGTAAGTTTAATTTCTCTGATTTCCACACCATTTTAATTCATCATTAAAAGACGTGCAATTGAAGGAGTTGCTGCCAGACTTTGGAGGTTCTTTGATTTGTACATGCTTTTCATCAAAAGTGCCCAAACACCTCTATATGCTACATTTGCCTTAGAATGGGAAGGTAACAAAGTCCAGTTATGCTAAGTGCTATCCCACAGCACTTAGCACAACTCAGGAATAGAAATCGACACAGTGGAACAACCCAATATTTAACTAGCTGCTATGTCCTGTAAAAAATGCAAAGTTACAGTCAATGTCTTGGATACATTAGTGGGAGCCATGCGTAATTTTTCTGCAGTCTTGTGAGGTAACAGACTGATGCATTCGAGAGTAGTGTAGTGAGAATGGAACCAGGTGTCAAAGTCAGCATCGGTCAATGCACCACGCTGTGGAACCCATGGACTGGCCTTTAGTGAAGCTGCTGTGTGGTTCTTAGCACTATTTACTACATAACTGCAGTTTCTGCCACTAATGGTTTGGTTCTAAAATATGCATCACTGTAATGTGTCTAGCTTTGATCAGAGTTTGTGTCTTTGGGTTGGCAAAACTTTATTAAACATTTAAGACGAGCGTATTTTCCATTGGCGCATACTGTGACAGGTAACTGTCCAGGTCAGTCATGGAAGCCTGACTGTGAGAAAAGCATAAAGCCTACATCAATAAACCTTTTGATCATTCATTGCTCTGATAAAACCGCTGCTAATTTACATACCTTAAGTCTTTGTTCAATGTTTGGCCTGTCTACCAAGGTCATTTATGTGTACTGACTGTACATCAAGGTCATCGATGGATCTCAAGATCAATAGTGTCACATTGCACCGGCTATAAAACATTGTTATTGATCCCAGCAGACAATGAGGCCACATATTCCTCCCACTTGAACTTGTAATGGAGAGTTAATGGATGGACTTTGTAATGTAGTAACCCCCACGAGGCCTTTTGTGAAGGGCACCAGGAAAGAGACACACCTTACAATGTCCTCTGAAAAATGTATGTACAGCTCTAAACATTTAATGTTTTGGAAGTTTTCTCTCGACATGTCTTATAGAAACACACTGCTGAAAAGGTGAAACCTGCTGTTTGGAAATGAGCCCAGGTGTCTCTGGCTGGCTCATTTACACACAGATGTGGTTTATCATCACTATTTATGGCCACTGCTCTGCCGGACTGTCCCTGAGCCAGCACCAAAGCTCTTTGCTTTTAGGGCTCCGGTATACTCAAAACGAATGCAAATTTGGCATTTTCTCAAAGGCTGTCGATTGTACTACGTTCAAATGCCAGTATTCCCACTGTGAGTAGAGGTCAGCTCGTCCTGGCTGAAGTGAGCAACGCTGAAAGAGAGGACACTGGAAATATACTATTAATGAAATCCAAAGCAAAAGACTTGATTAATATTTAATTTACAACTAACGATATGGAATTAATAAGATTTATATATGGCTGTGGCACAAGTTTTTTTCTTCTTGTATTTGCCTTCATTTGATGGTGATGGAAGGAAACCCAGGGAGACAGAGAGGAAGAAGACATTTAACAAAGGCCTCTGACCAGTCAAACTTGAAACTAGAATTATATTGTACATGTCCCTAAAACAGAAACAGAGTTTTGTCCCCTAAATTAAACAGACGTATAGCGAGACTTTTGTTCAGAATTTAAAATAAGTGACTGTTTTCATGAAATACAATACAATGTTCAAAAAATTACCCATCCCACTGAAAAGCAATGAACAGCCATACAGTACTTGTTTATTTTGAACACAGCATTTTGGTTTTATGTGCTTCCTATCTTAGTTTAATCTGAGTTTCTAATTTTAGTTTAATACAAAAAAAGGCAGCAGCAATTTATATTTGAAATTTACAACAATGGTGAGGTGGGAAATTGTATTTTAAAAAATTGAAATTTTAGTTTATATCTTAGGTGAGCACAGTGTTTGGTATCAATGTTCTTACCCTAGTGAAATAGTGGATGACGCTGGTGGAAAGTGAGTCGACATGATAAATCAATTTCTAGAGGAGTGTTCAGACAACTGGAAAAAAGCATCTGGCTACAAGTCGTACAGGTCAGCGCTATGAAGCTACAAAATGACACCTGTGGTAGGCTGTTGTAATATTTACTGGCTAGTACTAGTTATGCATCGTAGATGTCTATAATTCAGTTCATCTTGGTAAAAAACAGCATTTTAGATATCGACATTGTCAGTCTTTCAGGTCAAAAGAAAATCATTTTTCTCATTCACAGGTTTCTCAATACAGATATCTATAATTCACATTTCTCTTATTCATAACTGAATTATAACTAGTTAGAATTCCATTTTCTTAAATCTGCATTTGACTTGTCAGTGTCCAATTCAGGATATTGGTAATTCTCCTCAATTCAAGATATCTACATTGTCCTTTTTAAATATCTTAAATTAAGTTTGAACTAGCCACAATGATCTTGTAGATATCTTGAATTGGAATTCTACCAAGTTATATTGTAATTAAAGATATCCTAAAAATAATGCTTTGACAGAGCACAAGTGGCATTGCAGATATCTGTAGTTACACCAGGAGCCACGGCAAGGTGGAGGTGGCTTGCTTTTTAGACATACTGTGGCACTGCAAACCACAACCACATACAACAAGGTGTTTTATCAACATGTCAGATCAGCCTTCCAGTAAATTGCCACTTACTTCTGCTAACACTGCTCAAATGGTTTGCTGGACCAATATCCAAGGGAAAGCCTTGCACAAGAAGCAACATGCACAACAGTCTGGACCAGTCAGACTGACTTTTGAGATATCTGCAGCTATTATTCTGAAAAGCCCAGACTAAATTACAGCTATCTTTAACTGACCTTTAGATTGGACACAATGTTTGTGATATCTTAGATGAAAGTTCTGACTAGTCTCAGTGCAATTATGGGTTGTAATTTTTAATCTGGATAGCCAAACTCAGCTGTTAAATTTTAAAACGGCTTGCAGTAGACTCCAATATTCGTCATAGGGTGACAGGCCTGATGCACTACCAATCAAACCCGAGCTGACCTCAGCTTTTCTTAGCACTTCAATGATGAGGTGACAAGT